ACCCACAGTTGAAAGGCGAGAATCTAATGGAAGAAAGGAAATCAACATTTGGCTTACCACTAGAAACGGCAGATTATGGTGTGTGTGTGTGTGTGTGTGTGTGTGTGTGTGTGTGAAACGGCTCAATGCAGATGGTCAATATGTTTCTTTTTCCAGCACTGCACCCTGTAGACCACCTTTATCTAGATGCTAGTTAATCAGCAGGATTGACACTACTGGAAATCATTGGAGAGTAATTGTATTGAGGATTTAGGAGTGCAAGGAATTGAAAAATGACTTGAGTCAGTATGTCGGTCAATATGAGCGGAGCTTCCCCTCTTTAAGCATGCAGCTCCCTCCTCCTTCCCAGCGCTGTTGAAATGAAGGCTTTTTATATGCATGCCGTATAAGAGAGAGGGAGTCTTTGCTCTTTGGAATGGTAATTTGTTTTTTTGTTACCTAAATGAAAGCTACAGAAATTAATTTGTTGCTGGATGTGTAAATCAACCCGTGTATGGAATACAAGACAATGCTGATCTAAAGGTCTATTCACTCCCTCTTCATGTAAATCCTGGGCTTGAAAATTGCATTAATAACCAGATCACGAAGTGTTTTTGCACCTGTGTAATCCCCTTTGTGATGCTTAAACGCACTGTGGGAGGGGGCTGCTGGGCTGGGTGGAGGGAATCAAGGTGTGTTGTCGGGTAATCAAGGGATAGATGGATTTTGCAGAGGATTTAATTGTCCTATTGTGTAGATGTGTGTGTGTGTGTGTGTGTGTGTGTGGCAACGTCTATGTTTAATGTCTGTGTGTTTGCTCGTTCAGCGGCCAGGGGAGTATTATTTCTCCATATTTGAGTCGTGACAGTCATTTCTTTCCATTCCCTGGCTATGCTGAGCTTTTGAGATTCAAGTTGCCGGCATCGTGACTACTGGGGCGACTGTGTGGGAGGACGGAGGCCAGGAATGTCACATCTGAGAGCCACCACCAAGGCTAATGAAGTCAATTAGACATATGCTGCTGGTGTAACTGAGAGGCAGGGGTCAGAATACCCAAGTCGATCCAATAAGTCATACAAAAACATACTGAGGAACGCCATAGTGTCCATTCTTTCCTCACCCATTTCCTCTTCTGCATCTCCTACATTGTATTCATTGGAAGTTATTAAAGGCATTCAGTGGAGTGAGAGCAGGCAAACAAGTGAAAACGAGGATTTTCTTTGCTGTTGCTTGCTTTAAATTGGAGCTAATGCATCAGGGCTGTGAGCTGAGAAGCTTGAATGAGCATGTGAACGTGTAGCTGGTCACTTGTTGGCACAGCAGCAGCAGCAGCAGCAGGAGTGAGGAGTGGCTTGAGCATGAAACCTGATCATCGTGGACTTTGCCATTCTCATCTCTCTTCAATCAGACGATCAAATCCAGCGATGACCAGCTGGTCCTCGCTTGCTGTTTTATATCAAGCAGTATTACAGACTCCTATCTTTCTAATAGGGCCTTTGAAGAGCCCCCCCCCCCTTTGAGGAGCTGTTATTGCATCTTTAGCCGGTTTGTGTCCGCACAGAGACTTATCAATAGTGTCCTGGTGCGTTCAAAACATATAGGTCGATAGGCGGGTTAATAAGCAGGCTTTTGAAGCTGCTCTTCACCTGGCGGTTGGACAGGTGAGCTGCTGTGTTGGAACCAGATTGGCGTCCCTCCCTCTCACGGCTTCCCTCTCTCTCTCCACCCTCCTGTCCCGCCCCCCCATCCTCTATCCTCTTTTCTCTGGCACAAAGCTGCTCAGTTGTTCATGAATGTCAGCTCAGTGCTGCCAGCGCTCTATCTTTCCCTCTCCCTCTCCCTCTCCCCCTCCCTCAGCCTCTCTCTTCCTTCCTCACTCCTTATCTCCCTCCCTTAGTTCGCTTAGTGTGCAAAGGAAGAACGACTGCAAATGAGTTCCTTGAACCACAGGGACCCCAATAAATAAAACTGTCAGCCAGAGATGTCGAAAGAAAAAAAGAGGGAAGGAGCCAGAGGCACACTCTCACTGAATATTTCATCACCCACCACCACTCTGACACCCTACCCCCATCGCCCCCATCCCCCCCTCACCATCCTTTCTCCCTTCCTCACTCAGGCCATGCACCCCCTTTTTTCCTCCTCTATCTCCCCCCCCCAACCCTTATCATATTCTCCCCCATCACTGCATTGCAAGCAAAGCCTTCTGCTAAACAACCTCCTGGACAACTAAAACAAAATGGTTGATGGCGCCTGCTCTGGGGTCAGTTGTGAGAGAAGTAATTAAGTGGAACGGCTCTTTATCAACACCTGCATGTCACTTCGTCATGGCAGTGTCTATCAAATGTCTGTTTTCAGCCAAACACACCTTGTCCTTCAGGCATGAGCTCCTCTTCTCTTTGCATAGCCTCTGCTGCGTCAGAAAGAGAACAATGAATGGCTGGTTTCTCTCTGTCTGCCTTAACACAACAAAAGTGGGGCCCTCCCCTCCTTCTCTGTCTTCTGTCTCAAACACAAACCAGCACAGACGGCCATAAGAAAGCCTGCTTCTCTCGCCGGCTAATTTGTAGCCTGCCATGTGGTGTTGGGAACTCAGTAGGAGTGCATTTTATCTTGGTGGTTTTGAATAATCCACACCAGTCATTATAAGAGTAATCAAGCCTCCTCTGTTTCTCCTGCTGTCACTCACTGTCGGCCTTCTTCTCTCACTTTCTCTCTCTCACACACACACAGGAACAGAGGGATGAAGCAAAGGCCCTGTTCAGACTTGACATTAAATGGTATCTTAGATGATTGCTTCATAGGAAAAAGGAAGAATTCTCCGCAGGATTCAACATACAGTATCTCCACAGGGTGAACACAAATATGTCCACCCTGTGTAGTAGAAGATACTCCTACACAGTGTTTATAAGCCACCTCAAAATAACAAATTGTAAAAGTGCCCAAACAGTTTCTTCACTGTTAAAATCAAAAGTTAGCATGAAGGTGAAATCCAATTAGAGGCAGTAACATAAAGCAGACTCTGATGCCAGGCGTGAACTGGACGTTGACACAGTCAGATTGTAGAAACAGAACCATAGACAAATATACACTCACTTCCCAGGGGTGCCCCTGCAGTATTTCTCCCTCCTTTTAACTAAACACTGGCTTGAAGGTCTCCCTCAGGGCCTCTGACTTTGTAACCATGTTCGTTTGTGTGTGTTTCGGATTTGCAAACTGCCGACTCATTATTTGACAGCTGTCAGTCACAGACACAGTCAGCATCCCTACCACCCCCTCCCTTTTCTCTTTCTTTCTCTCCTCCACACCCACTTTTGGGGGTCCTCCTCCCCCCGAGACCTCAAACAGACACAACCATACATCTTGTCTTAGTCTTTGTGCACAGAGTGTCTTAGAGCCGCCTCAGGTAGCACCCTGCCCTTGTTCTCCTCCTCACTTCCTGTCCCGTTCTGCTGAGTTTATTGTCTTACCAATACAGGGGGATAATGGGTGTGAACTGGACCATCAACAGGCCATTAGTGGCTGACTTAACACTGAGTTCCTGTTTATCCTGCAGCATCCTTTATGCTGATCCCGGCCTCTTTAGCTTTTGATTATTTACATGTTGAAAAGCAGCCATCAGATCACCCCAGCCCCCCTCGTCCTATCACCTGCCTCTCCTCTCCCTCGATCTTCTCTTCCACACCATGTCAATACCAACGTGCAAAGGTCACCCTGGCAACAGAGAGGCAGCGGTCGATAGAGAAATAAATAAGCAGAAGAAAAGGGAGAGAAGTGATGGAGGGCAGAGCCTGGTGATTCACAGGGTTAACTACAGGCCAGCCTCTCACAAGCACACTCCAAAGGCTGCAGGGTCTAGGGGGAGTGAGACCTCTGCTCTTGTTTGACGTCTTTGTATGTGTGTCTCTATTAGTTGTTTTCTCAGCTTTGTCATTATTCCTTCTCCATCTCCCGTCCTCTTTGTGCTCTCTCACCCCCTTGTGTAGCTTTGCACTGCTGCTCCGGTCTTCCTGTTTCCCCCTCCCTCGTGAGTCTCTGGGGACTGAAAGGCACTATGGGTTGTTGAAACCTTTTTGGAAAGAGGCGTCACTTTGTATTTGCCACTCTGGTTCAGTTTGCTTCTATTTGGGGAGACTTGGGATGTGATGCTGAGTCTTCAAGACCCAAAGAAGCTTTCTGACCCCCATATGACTCTCATAAGAGAATAAACACTCTTACACATGCACAGGCTTAAGCAGAGAGTAGCAATGCAAAGCAACAGAGCCACAGGCATGCGCCAGGGGGACAAGAGAACTTTTGTTGTTTGGTGTGAATCCTCCGGCCAAGTCGTGACAACTCTGCTATCCTGTGTGTTTGTGTGTCCATCCGGGCCACGGGTGGGACAGCGAAGGCCTCCACACTTGGCTCTTATTAGTTGTTGCCAGAGCTCCAGAAATGGGCAGCCCTTCCAGATCCGCCGCGGACAATCGGCTATTCTGTGTTTGAGAGGCAGGCGGGGTGTATTTCCTGGACGTGGGACTGATTTTTCAGGCCCCGGGCCAGACAGAAGGGTGGCCTCTGTCTCCGAGTTGAATGACACTGCTGACTAAGAAGGGACTGAGGGGCAGTGGGAGGCGAGCGAGAGTGGGTGCTATTTGTGTGTTTTTCCAATAGGTCTCCTCATCCACTGCTCCCCACAGATGTAAATAGGCCAGTGTTACAGAATAGTGATTGATTTCATTATGGGCTAATGTGGTGTGTCGGTGTCTCTGTGAGAGGGGGAGCTCAAAGCTCTGTTTTGTGCATTTCAACTGCCAACCATGGCGCGGATTGTTCATTTATAAAAGAGGAAGTCAATATGCTTTGGCTTTAAGTACACAATCTGGATGCAGACTGAATTTGCAATGCCATTGCGCCAATTAAACATGAATGTTTTGAAATGTTATTTTTTGGCACTTGGCAATGCTGTGTTGGTGACCTTTCCTGTAAAAGCGGATGAACTTAACTCAAATTCTCTTTTGTCTACCCGCAGGTCAGTGACTTCCTGTCCGGCCGCTCCCCCCTCACCCTGGCGCTGCGTGTCGGGGATCACATGATGTTCGTGCAGCTCCAGTTGGCGGCGCAGCAGTCCGGCGGCCCCCAGCTCCAGCACAGACACGTCATCACCCGGAGCAACTCCGACACCGCCGCAATGGGACAGCCCACCGGGCAGCCTCGTGTTCCCCACCCCCACCCGCACTCCCACCAGCATCATCCACATCCCAGCCCCCACTTGGCCCAGCCTCCCCCCTCTTCCCCAGTCTCCCCATCCGTCCCGCTGCCCTCCACACACAACCAGCCCATCCCGCCCATGTACCACCAGTCGGTCTCCTCCACTCACTGTAGCCCCCCTACTCCTCCCCCTCAAGCCCACTCCCCTCGTCCGTCAAACATCCCTGGAGGTCATTTCCGCTCTCCAGCCCATCCCCATAGTCACCACCACCACTACCAACAGCCTTCCTCAAGCCAACCCAGCCCCGACGTGGGCCAGGCTAGCCCTGTAGCCCCGATCCTCTGCCCTGAAGTAAGTTCCAAAAACATTGTCAGTCAACTTCCAAGCATGCAAAATCTCACAATAATATACTATTCTACAAATAAAGTGGTTGGAAAGCTTAACTCTGACACAGCTGATGTCATCAAAGGCACTTAGCCCTGTAATGAATGAACAATGGAGGAGGTAGGTTATGGCTATTTGACCCGAGGGCCATGCACACAACTAAATCATCCTCCATTTAATTGATTAGATTAGTGGGATCTCATGAAGGTGAACCCGTGGTTTACTCGGGTCTGGAAAAGGTTTGTGTGTTTGTGTGTGTGTGTGTGTGTGTGTGTGTGTGTAAACCACAGTGCACTTAGTCATCACTGGAGTGCAATCTGCATTCCCAAATGCACACAAAAAGGCCAACACACACACGCTAGGACGGACACAGCATCCCTATGACCCTATGAGATGTACGGGAAAAGGGGGGAAGAGGAACAGCTTGAGAGACAGAGATTCAAACAGAGGCAGATTTAACGATCATAGTCGATTTTATTTATGGGAAGACTAATCATCATTGACCTCAGTGTTGTCTGCCATTGATCACCAACCTTTGAAACCCTTTGTTTAACTTTGAATAACTCCAAGAACAGCTAGCCAGACGCTCGAACAAACACACTTACTTACTCGTCTCCAACAACCAAATTTGCTGTTTATACTTTCTCCACCTCCCCCGAGCTCCAGCCTATGGAAAGCAAATAAGAACCAGATGTCAGTGGACTTTGTGGGAGAGATGGTTCACAACAAGAAAAACAGAAACACAGGCCAGTTTATTAGGGAGGAAAACGGAAATGGCTATTCCTCATTAGGCTTTCACATGGTAACACACACAAAAACAGAGACCCTTGCTGGGTTTCAAATTAACGTTCACATGTCAGTTGAGTGATGACATGAAGTTGTGCTAAGGTGAAGGAACGGGGTTGATTATTTTTGCTCTTTCTCAGGTTTGAGGTAACAAGATATCCTCGCTTTTTTTTTAGGGCTATAGGTCGAAAGCTCAGGTTTCCTGCTTTCCGTGGTTTCCTATATCAACCAGCACAGCATAGGCTACTAACATTGTGCAAATAGTGTACATCCTAATGTAAAGGTCACTAATGGCGCATTTCCATTACAGGGCCTCGCTCGGTATGGCTAGGCCTTGTTAGGACTGGCTCACTTTATGCTGCGTTTCCATTACAGTTTAGTAGCTGGGGCACTATAGTAACGCAGTGTAGGCGGAGCCGTGACGTTATCTTCAATCAGAACCACAGAAAAACAACATCAGCCGTTAGCTGTTAGCACTCAAGCTCACAGCTCCTCATATCTGTTTAGAAACTAGACAAAAGTGAAACAAGTACAAACCACATGGCGAATACAGTCGCTGGTTTATTTATGTCTGTAGGCCGTTGTTGTGAGTGTGGACGGTCGGAGCGTATACTGCGTTAGCTTAGCCGATCTCCATTTAGACAACACGCATTTTAAAAGGTTTTTCGCCTGCCGTCTGTCTGCAGACTTGTCAAAGCATTAATTCATGGTGTTTACTAACCGGTATCAGTATGTTGTTACTTCGGCATTATTTTGAAACGTGTATTACAATTAAATCACGGTCAAATATGTTCATTTTGTTGTAGTTGTAGCTCCCTTGCCAGTGATTCTCTAGTTTAGCATACTCAGCCCGACTCAGCCTGGTTGTTGGCCCGGAAAGAACCTCAATTTTATGGGGCCAGAAAAACTGTGAAATAGTACCCACTAGCCGGAACTACGCCAAGTGGAAACGCAACCAAAAAACGGGCCGGGCCCGGCACGGCACGCTTAAAGCGAGCTCCGCGCTGTAGTGGAAATGCGCCATTGAACCCATGCAGGTCTCCTCAGGACAGAGCTTATATCCTATACCTTATAAGTCAGAAGAAACAGCTCACAGGATAGGCATGAATGTAATTTGATGAACTGCTTATATAAAGTACAGGATGTGACTGTACCAATGTGTTCTTTTTACACTGCTTCTCTATGCTCTGAGCCTCACTTTATGCTATTTATATTTTTTTCTTCCAGGCTAACTGCAGCCCCAAAAGCTCCAACAGCCCCAACAGTCCCAACATCCCAAGCAGCCCAAGCAGCCCAAGCAGCCCAAACAGCCCCAACATCGCAAACACTCCCAACAGCCCCAGCGGCAGCGGCAGTGGCAGCAGTCCCTCAACACGCTCCCGTAAACCGGGCGCCATCATTGAGAGCTTTGTCAACCACGCTCCCGGAGTCTTCTCAGGGACCTTTTCAGGTGAGGACACTGAGCTGCCATTTAGATTTATTGCTGCTTTATCCAAAAACCCTGCGCACAGTGAGATCCAGCTGAAAGCCTCTTTTATTAAACCTGCATGCTTCACAAAAACACATTCTCCTCTGTCATTGTCCTCCGGGTTTTTTTGCCTTAAAATCTTCAACTTTTAGGTTTTTTTTTAATTAAAAACGAATCTCTTGTAACCCTTTATCTTCCTCCCTCTCTCAGGCACTTTGCACCCTAACTGCCAGGACAGCACTGGGCGTCCCAGACGAGATATTGGTACCATCCTGCAGATCCTCAACGACCTCCTGAGCGCCACGCGCCACTACCAGGGCATGCCCCCCTCCCTCACCCAGCTCCGCTACCAGACCGGATGTGGTTCGCCCACCACACCCTCCCCCTCGCCGCCTCCTTCCCCCCAGGTTGCTGGCATGACGGGCCTCCCTGCCAAAGCTACCTCTGTGCCCGCCAGCATCCCCATCAGCCCTCCTGCTACTCTTCATCCGCTGGTGCAGTGCCAGAGCCAGATCCGCATGTGCAAACCCCCTGGTAAGTGACTCCACACCACACTCCCACTGCTCATGCAAACATGTCAGAAACTCAACAGAAACACACTCACACACACATGGAAGGATTGTGCATCCCTTGAGGCAGATGGTCCTGCAGTTGTTCCTGTGTGTGTGTGAAATGACTTCAATCTAGAATTTGTCATTTTACTGAGTTTTTCTCTTTCATTGTACCCTAGTGAAGAATAATCGTCATACTTTCTGTCTCTATTCCCATCGCTCACATGGTTTAGCGATCATTTCTGTTGGGATTACTTTGTCCTCCTTGTTCAAGCAAGTTTTTTCATCTTTAAAATACTGACAAAGCAAGAACAGAACAGTCAGATTAAAGAACAAAAACAGTCATATATACATCTCTCCTGGGTTTTGTAGCAGAGGGGGAAAGAGAGAGGGGGGGGGGGGTCGTCCGTTAGTAATGCAACACAAGCTTCTCCAAACCTGTTCAGTCAGGCTTCACTTGTCAGGAAGCGGAGTAGGTTTACCCCTTCAAGCCTGGGCTGGGCTATGTTTAGATTTAGATTAGGCTTTTGGTGATTTTACCTGCCTTTTTTAAAACAGGTCTGCCGCTGGGACACGTACGGGCTGGGGCCAGACAAACCCAGCCATACCCGTGCCCAAGGGCTGGGCAGGTGCTGTAGTGCAGATGATACCATCTAGGGTCTGGGTTTTAGTGTTTTAAAACCTCCTTTCCTTGCAGAGACACAGGATGTGGAGTGTCAGACAGATGTCCAGAGCTGATAAGATTCAGTCACTGTTGTAAGGTTAGCCTGGCTGTGCTGAGAGAAACAGCATTGTCCTCTGCCGCCTCCTTATCTCCTGTCAAGGAAATCGAGCTAGCCTTTGGTGAGCTGCTGGTAGATTTTGTTGAATCGTCTGGTAGGGAGGGGTCCTGCAGTACAGGGATTAATGTTTAATGTTTTCTTTTGTTTCTTAAAGCAAGCACATACATTTCTATTGTCGTGATCGAGCGTTGTCCCTGGTGTCGTGACCTTCAGATGCAAACAGTAGAGTGTTTTAGTCTCAGCTGAATACAGATAGACCGGGAATGTCCTGTATTCCTGTGCGTCACCCTGGGTACCCTTACAAGTGTTCAGTGAACAGTTGGAATAACACAGGCTTATTTAGCTAACTCAGGGAAGACCTTTCCTTCACTGCCACCACCTACATATTGCCCCCCCCACCCGGCTCTTCCCCTCTTCTCCCACTCATGTCATCTCTCTTCGTCTCCACTCAGCAGCCCACGCCGCTGTTTCCCCCATTTGCTGTCCAAAAACAGCCTTGTCTGAAAAATCCATCTCTCTGTGTCTTCCTCCCTCTCTTTCCATGTCTGTGTTGTGCATCAATACAATGTCTCTGTTCATTTGGCCTTTTAATAGACAGATTTCATTCTGAAATGCAGCTCTGAAAATAATTTGCTTTATAAGGCTGAGGGCAGGGAGAGGAGGACGTGGAAGAGTCTAAAACCACAACACATTCATCATATGGGTGTTTATATCCTGTCCATCAGCCCACTGATTAACCAAGGGCAGTAAAAAGAAAGAAAGAATGGCTGAAGTAATAGCCTCTCTAATGTCCTTTTTCCGACTTAACTGCCTACGTCCAACTTCCTGCCCGCAGTGTTCACTTCCAGAAAGTGAATGAGTAACCCGTTCAACCAAACACACTTAAGCTCACTGAGACAAAGAGTGTGTCGTTGTGTTTGCGTGGACAGAGGCTGCTTGCCTATCCCGTCCACATGGTGTCCTGCGCAAGCCGATGACTAATCGCTCTTATCAGCCGACACCTGATGGAGGACTTACTGGACTTAACACCGCGGCTTAACTCTGCTTCACAGAAACCTGTCTTCATTGAGCTATAGGAAGAACCCACGCTTCTCATATGCCTAAATGTGTGTGTGCGGTCAAACTCGGGTTGAAACGGCTTCTCGAAAATGTCACATAGCTAGGCCGTCTCCTGAGAGCCTTTACCCTTTCCGCTGCAAGTTCATGTGCGAGGGGGAGAAGACGAGCGTAAATAAAAAGCTTGAACTTACTCACACACACACACTGGCCGACAAATTCCTGGTTAACGTCTACTTGCTTGGTTTCATGGCTTTGCTGAGTTAGGGGATTTGTCAGCCGAAGTCTCGAGTTGGATTTGAACAGGAGGGCTTTAGCGTGGCCTGGCAGGCTGATTGTTAGCTAAATTCCTTTACTGAGTAGGGAGGACCTCCCCGGCACCCCCCTCTGGTCCTTCAGCCCCCTGCTCAGCCAAACCCATTGTGCAGGGGCCAGGGACAGGGGCTGCATACAGGGCACCAGGCTGAGCCATTGTGGGTCAGAGATGGGGAGGGCTATTGGATTATAGGGCAGGCTTTTAGTCCCACTCCCACTGCAGCTGCCTTAGTTCAACACAGAGAGGGGCAACGCAGGGGCAAAGTTAGCTCTGAAAGCTTCTCCGGCACCCCTTTCCACATCCCTTCCTCTCCTCTTTAGATTTGTCAGGTCATGTTAGCTTCTGCCGGCGGGGACGGGGAAAGCCGAAGGAGGAGGGAGATGGGAGAACTAGGGAGACGCAGGGAAAGATCCTACGGCCTCATTGAGTCCTGTATATGAAACGTTGTCCTGCTTGGCTGAGGCCGAGTTCTCCACACTGGGGTTTGCCGCGACACACCCACGTGCACCAGTAGCTCCGTGAACACCCCGGCGACACACCGCAGCACAGAGCTATCTAGCAAAGCCAGCCAAGCACATCAGGTGCCCTTTCCTTGTCGACAAGGAGAGGGAGAGAGAGGGAATGCAAATTAAGTCTAAAAGTCATTGAAGAGCTTTTGTCCCTGCAGGGCTGTCAATGCCCTTTCGCTGGCTGTCAAAATGTTCATAATGCTCAACCTGAGCAATAACAGTTTATGGCGAGTACGGCAAATGAAAGTTGTAACAAGCAGTAGCGCTGACCAAAGTGACTAGAACGCAACTACAGACTTGTTAAAAAAAAACAACTCTTTATAAAGTCAGGCAGACGTTTTGTTTTGTATTATAGCAGCTATCAATACATGGGCTGCACAGGTTTTCATGTCCGACCATCACAAGTAGAATCATAATCAAAAATACGCCGGTAAAATGTGCCGGCGTAGAAAACGGTTTATGCAACTATAGGATAGCAACAAGCAGTCAAGATAGCCAGTTTAGCTGTTGCTATGCTAACATCACCCATTTTATACGAGAGAAACTTTAATAACAGCGTTGTAATGCCAAACAGCGGGCAGCACTGCAGCGGTCGGTAAATGCAGCTGAAACACATTAATTAACAATGAACCACGGCACTCTGGAGAAAAGTTTAAGGGTTGAGAAGTAGTTATTTCATTTTATCTGGCTTCGTATGATTAAAAGCAACACCATCATCGGCCCGACGCCGTTGGGGAGAAAATCAGCGACGTAAACGGTGACGTCATGACGCAGCCGTGGTAGCACCAGTCGGGCTCTGGGCGGTGTGAACAAAACGGGGGCTGAAAAGAAAAACCGATTCCGAACCAGAAGATCACTAGCACGGAGCTAGAACGGGAACCGTGTTGGTGTGAAAGGGGCAATAGAGTTGTTTACCTGTTTGCATTGAACCGCCATGATTTGATGGTTTTAGATCCATCAGTTTTTTGTCTTTACCCAACTCATGCATTTAGATCACGCACTGTGGAACTACTACTTACTAAACCCCTTCACCTCTGGACCACAGATGTTCTCCAGTGAATGTAACTGTCGATATTGTCACGTACCAATATGTACCGATAATACTGATAATGACCACAATATTAGTTTTGCCCATATCAATAAACCATCAAATGGAGACTTGGCAACATTGGAGGAAACAAAAGCTGACTTTGCGGCATTGTGATTTTCTGTCCTGATCTTCCTTTCTCCCTTTCACTACCTCTTCCCCTCTGTCCACACCTCCCTCTCTCCCCCGGTTCCCTGGATGCTGAGCAAACACAATGTTCTCTCTGCAAGATCACAAGACTTATCAAGGCAAACAAACAAACAACAACACTAAGACAACTGCAAATGAAGGCCAATCTTTATACAATCAATAAAAGGAGAAGCTCCTTTAATCTCCCTGTGCGTCCTGCACACTGCAGCCCTCCTCCCTTTCTCTCTAGCTCCATCCTCTGCTTCTCCTACACACACCCACTCCTCCCCCCCTACCCTGTGCTCCCCATCTCAGTCCTTGCTGTGTTGCTGGGCCGGGCTCAAAGGCAAGGAAAACTGACTGACGCATCGATTATTCATAGATCACCCCTTCGTTCTCCCTCTCTCTCTGTTTTTCTTTGGCTTTCTCTGCAGCGATCAGAGTATTTACAGGCGCTGTGTCAAAGTCTTCACAGAGGAGAGTTCAGGATGGAGATTTGGTGTGATTGACATTAAGGGGAGTGGTTAAAAGGAGAGGAGGAAATGGGTAGACTGCTCTTTCCTTCCTCTCTGTGCCCTTGACCGGTCAGCTGTTTGATTTCTTCCACCGAGTGTTTCCTGGAAAACATCTGGGTTGTATATCGGACATGGATTTCCTCCTCTCATTCCCTGTTTCTTACTCTCTCTGGGTCCTCCAAGGTTATTGCACTTTCATCAAAATGTAGTCTCTGCATCCACTGTGTGTGTGTGTGTGTGTGTGTGTGTGTGTGTGTGTGTGTGTGTGTGTGTGTGTGTGTGTGTGTGTGTGTGTGTGTGTGTGTGTGTGTGTGTGTGTGTGTGTGTGTGTGTGTGTGTGTGTGTGTGTGTGTGTGTGTGTGTGTGTGTGTGTGTGTGTGTGTGTGTGTGTGTGTGTGTGTGTGTGTAGTCTGTCCTTCTTGGCCAGCCCTAATAATAGTCCTACCGTCATAAACATAGTCTGGAGATCCTTGTGGCCAGCTGTGTCCGGCCCAGCCGCCCAGGGCTTCGGAAGTGATGCTGATGAATGACCACACACACACACACACACACACACACACACCAAGTTTAGTGTAGCTCCACATTCTCAAAAAAAAAGTTCCCTTAATGGTGTGTTTGTGCCTCATTTATTGGTGAGTTGTCCTGGTAAATGAACCTCTTTGCAAAGCAAGATTGAGTGGACTACCCTGGTGAGATAAAGAGCTAATTCAAACTGAGACAGTGTGAAGGCAAACTGTACCAGACAAAAAGATTTTGTAAGTTGGCATGTTTTGGCTTTGTGCCATTTCATTGTGCATTGACATATTTCGAGGGGTGGTTTGGCTTGTAGCTGGAGAGAGCAGGGGAATAAGGGGAAGAAGGAGGACCGGAGGGGGAACAAAGCCTTGCGGCAGCGTGTGTGGATGTCACATGGAGCTGAGGCAGCGGAACAATGGCTCTAAAGTAGGAGAACCCCCCCCCCCCTTTGGTACACCCCCTGTTCTCAAGAGATGACAGGCTGCCCTCACATACAACGAACAAGACATCTGGATGCACACACATACGTTTGTATCAGGTCATAACACATTGGCAGGAAGTGGAAAAACCCGGTCTGTGTGTAGTGAGTGTCATGTGAAGAACTATTATTTTCTGTCAACTCGGTGTCACTCTTCACTTCCTCTCTTCTCTCAAAAAGCAGCATCAAGGCTGCTTGATGGCAGTTTGGTTCTTTAGTATGCACTGCCAGACACTGGTGAATATTTATTGCTGGAAAAAAAGGCTCTGCACTGCTCGATCCGATAAGCAAATGAGGGAAAGAGGTACATTTAAGCCCACACAGAGTCCGGAATTCATTCCGATGGGGGGGAAGAGCAGAGGAGGGCACAATCGATTCGGAAAACTGCCACCTACGGCTGATCCTTTGCCCTCCACCCTCTCCCTCCCTCCGTCCTTTTTTTTCTCTTTCTATCCCCCTCGCCCCTGAGGGAGGAATTCCTTAGCCCACATCGCCGGCCCGACCCCCAACTCCCCCCCACCCTCTCTCCTCTCGCCTCCTGCTTCCCGTTCTTCACACTGCCCCACCTAGCTGTCTCTGGGGAGACATGGGGCAAGAGCTGGGGGAGGGCAAAGGAGGAGAGAGGGGGGTGAAAGGAGTGGGGGTAAAAAGAGAGAATGAACGGGGTGGGGGTAAAAAGAGAGAATGAACGGGGTGGGGGGTGTTGCGTCAATGAGCTGAGAGTAGGAAGCTATAGCTATAATAAAGAAAAGAAAATAGCAGAAAAAACCCAATCTCTCCCCGTCCCTCTCTCCGCTTACAATTTCCATTCGCTTGCATTTTCTATTGAAAGCCAATAGCGTTGTCCTGGGCTCGAGATGGATGGCTGCACTAGAGCTAAGGTTTAATCAATAGGTCTTTTTAATTTGCCATCGATCCACGTTAAAAGCTACTGCGGCTGTTGCTGCTGTTGCTGTGTTTGTGCCTGCGTGCACCTGTGAGCGTGTGCAGCTGTGTGTGTGTGTGTATGCGTGCAGGAGTCTACACATTGTGTATATTTTTGTGTGTGAATACATCATGTGCTCCAACGAGGATTTGAGTGTCAGTGTGTGTGTTTGTGTGTGTTCTGGTGTGCAGCAGAGGCAGAGATGGTCGCTGTGCCTCGGTTTATTGACATTCTAGCCCATTATTTAATTATTTAATTCCCAGACAGATACTAATGGTGCTGGCTAATAGATTGTGGTTGCCTTCTCCTTCCTTCCGAGCCCCCGAATATAAGTATAAATGGAATTAGGCTTGACTCGGCCACTGTAGGAAAGCATTCGCAGTGCAATGCGAGGCGTCTCCCTTGAGACCTGATTCTCCTATAGGCACATCAACAGCTAGAAATGCACTTAGCAGCACATCCAGTCACTGAGGCATGTCATCTGCAATTATGTGCGCAGATATGATAGGCAGCTATTCGTATTTGTCCTCTCCGGCTTGTGTTTGCATGTTTTGGCCCTGCTATTGGTTCTCAAGGAGATTCTTTGTCTGAAGGTCTTCCCACTCAGCGACAAGGGGATGAAATGGCACTGAGGGGGCTAATGATGCTCAGTGGGGGAGGTTAGGCACGAAATTCTACATTGTGTGTATCAGAGCCAAGGGAATGTCAAGGATGTGTTGCTTTATCTGCTGCCTGCTAGGAACACACACACTGAAGCACATATAAATGTCCTTAAAACCTTTTTTTTGTTAATTATGCTCAGTGTACATAGAAATACCTGACTGACAATCTTTCCCCTTCCTTTGTCCAGGTGACCGTATTCGTCAGACTGAGAATCGCGCAACTCGCTGCAAGGTGGAGCGCCTGCAGCTGTTGATGCAGCAGAAGCACCTGCGCAGGAAGGCCAGGCGGGACCAGAGCGCGCCGTATCAGTGGCTGCCCAACAGGAAGGCGGGACGCAGCAACAGCAACAGCAGCATCTCCAGCGAGGGCTCCATGGACCTGGACTTTGACGACTCCGTGTGGAAGCCCGACGTAAAAGCCGACTTGAAGACTGAGTTCGTCATGGCCTGAAAAGCGTCTGATCCCACACGCTGTGGAAAAGATTCGCAAAGCATTGCTTGGGATTTACTTAGAGATATATTTTGATGGATTGGATTGGCAGGAGGTGCCACAGAGCTGTGCGGAAAGCTGACGTCAGATGAAATATAAAGCTCCCTGCGTACTTTAATCCCATCCGGTCCTTCAAAGTTGACCTTGTGTAAACCACAAAAGAACTTTCTTTTGATTCGTGGATTTGGACAGGCAACTACTGGACTTAACATTGTACAAGACTTTTTAAGGTGTGATTACAGACCATATCTGTACTTGAGCATAGCAGAATTCAGTGGGTGGTGGTGGTGGTGGTGGTTTTAGGTGGGGGTATTTTTCAGATTTTTGTTTCTACGTTTTGTTTTTGAAGCGCACTCTGGACAGCAATGAAGAGATCCACACTGGACTAACTAACAGGAGCACCGGAGGCCTCAGTGTTTCCTCGATGGCAGAACTGCCAAACTATGGATTGTTCCAAAGGGCATTCTTATTGATCTCAAAACTCACCAACCAGTCTACTTTTTACCTGTTATGGGTTGATTAAACCTTTTTTTTTTTTTTTCATTTTGAAACATATTATTATATTTTATAAACAAAAAATATGTAGCATTGTTCACAAAGCATTCAGGTTTTCATATAACAGTTCAAAGTAGTTGTTGATTTGCACATTTTCTTGATTTATAACAGCTGGTCAAAGTGTGCAAGGAGGCGGAGGTGGGGCCTGAAATCGATAAAAGAAATGAATATGGAAGTATTGATATCAACCTCAGTGACATAGGGTATCGATAGGAATGATTAATGAGAAAACTAAATAAATTAATATTAACAGAAAGTGCTTTAGAGGATTTAAAAATCTTTAAAATGTATATGGAAAAAATCTATTTTTTATTTCTCCTATCTGCTGTTTTCAAAAAACAGCAGCCCTTTGTGGCTTTAGTCAAGTTGTTGAATTGCCAACAAACACATCAATTTAATCATTCATTAGCTCATTCAGAAATTATAGTCGTCTACTTAGAACAAATTATACTGAAAGATACATTTCATCCAGCCCACTTTGTAACTGTTTGTGTACATAAATGTGACAATTGGCAAAGGTTTATGAGGGTGTGTGTGTACGTGTGACTTTAGTGTAAATTGATTTAGAATACCCTATGTTTTTGTCCAAGTTGTCCTCCCCATAGTTTCTCAAAATCAAAGGTCAGCTGCGGTGAATGCATTGGTCACTCATTTAAATCCCGAAACATCAAATTCTGTTGCTGTACCACAAGTCCTCATAATATCTTTTTATTGGCAAAAGAGGGAAAAGAAGTGGGCTCTGTATCCAGCATCATGATCTAGTGCCTCCACCAGTTCATCTGTTAACATATCAGGTTAGGCCTTTCACAATTTTGCTGCTACACATTAGGACTTCAGATTAAAAAAAAAAGGAAAAAGTGACTTTTATTTGCATGCAGTGTGAATTACACTGATCTTTTTTCTATTGATGGAAGAAAAAAAAACTGGTGCTGTGGGAATGAAGGTTAACAACATGCATGAAATTGTGAAGAAAAATAAACAATGCTGCTTTTGTTGGTTAGGTTTTTGTAATTTTCAATTTTTCAATGTTAGAACAACAGTGTCCTGCTTAAGTATTACAAACGCAAAACCAAAACAGATGAAGTTAAGTGTGGACTCTCATCTTGCTCAGCACTGAACATTCCTGTTGTGAGACAATGAAGATGATGATGAGCAAAGAGCAGCTGACTCTTGCCCCTATCCCTGAGCGCTGGTTTTACCCCCCATGACTCTCAAGGACCCAGACAAACTTTCTTAGCCACCTCCCCTCCTCCCAAACTGAACGCCAACCGAGGCTCGTGTGGACGTTCTCTGGCAGGGAACTAACAGACCAGCGGATTCTCAGTGCTGTCCGTCAAAACCCCAGAGAAACATCCGGTCTGTCTCTTTGTCTGTCTGTCTGTCTGATCGATGGACCACCCTACCACAATTGCACTCCCACAGATTGCAGTGAGAGATTACCTTTTTGGTGAACCTCATCTTTTTTTTAAGTGGCCTTACCTTTCACTAAAAAAATGAGACACTTGGGGACAATGGGGGCGGGAATGTTTTTTCCTTTTGGTTTTTAAACTTTCTGTGTGCATCATTGTCGGACTTGTTGTCATCAAGGCGCCATTTTTGTCACTGAGGACACTGGGCATCTGTTGTTTAGTGCTTTTAGCTGGTGGAGTCTCTATTATGTCAAGGCTTCTGTGCCTTAAAATGTTGCCCTTGCTGTGTCAGTGTCAGATTTAAGCTTGTTTTCATTGGTTGGTACACAGGACTGTAGTATTCACAGCCATGAGAGTTGTAGATGTAAGGGGTAAAGCTTGTTTGAGTGAAACAAAAACTATTCAAAAGTTGGTGTTGTTCCTCAAACATGGCCTTCATCCCGTTTCTTCATTGCGTTGCCATGCTTGTTGGTCTCCGTTGTCCTAACCTCACATCCCTCTATACTCAGTCCTCCCACCAACAAGCTGCAAAAGGCTACAAATCTGTTTAACTTATGTTAACTGAGGAAGTTTACACCACAGTACTTAGATGGCAGGAAACAACCCTGAATAAAAAAAGTCCTCTGAGGACTCCAGACTACATGCACTTCCTGTTCCCTAGGATACAACATTATTAAAAGGACCATTTATCCCTTGCCCCTCCCAAATTGTATTTAAGTTTGTTTTGTATATGTATGAAATATAGTCTGTGTGTGCCTCACTTCTGTGTGAAACTCAAAAAGATGAAACAAAACAAAAAAGATGACAAAAGCATACAGAGAGGATAAAAAACCGTATGTTGGTGGAATTCTGATCACGTCATTTGAGTTGCCTGTTCTTTCTTGTAGCCAACTATTGAAAATAACAGGATTCAAGAATACAATTTACAATGTTCTAGCTCTAGACCGGTGTAGCACATGTGTGACTGTATTAATTTATGAAACCAAAATGGTAACTGTGAATTATGTATTTCTTTGTGCATTTTTTTAAAAAGCTGGGGAGAAGGTTGTCGGGACATAGCAGCAGCTGATGCTTGTGCCCAAAAAAAACTTTTGTTTTTTTGGTGGAATATAATGGAAACAAAACGTGTTTCTGGAAAAAAGAAAAAAAAAAGATAAAAAATGAAAACAATTTAAAAATGAAAAAATATATGAATATATTTTTTTTTTCTTAAGCAATACATTTCAGTGTGACTTGTGATAGAACATTTTCTTTTTTTAGGTAATAAATAAATAAAAAACAAAATGAGTATGTCAGTTTGTCTCCATGAGTGTTCATTACTAGCCCATTCAATAACATTGAGTGAAAGCTGCTACTCAGTCTAATATTTCATGTGGGAATGTGTTTCATAAGGTAACATGAGTGGCATATGAAAATGTAGAGAAGCTTGGAAATGTATTGAAGAAATATGTAATTGATGATAGATCTCAACCAACACAGATAGCTGAGGGGTGGTCAGGGCTTATGAATGGATTATTGTGGGCCTGCTCGTGGAGGCCTAGGGGCCCAAGAGGTCTGGGAGCTGTAAAACAGCCAAAGGACACCTGAAAGTCAAAGATCTCTATCATTGTTGAATAGAAATCAAATATATATGTTCTACACTACAGAGTGGTGCAGGAATGAATCCTTAAACCTGGAAATGAGCTAGCACGTTAGCCTGTCTTGTTCGCCAGTTAATGTTAATATCTGGTCAGATGCCTGAAATAAGTTCCAAGGTTAAAACCAGCTTAGGGACTTCATAGTTTTATTATACGGCAAAAAATATGTCAGTGAATACCCCACTCATACCTCATTCACACCAACGCAACTCCGGTTCAAGCTCCGTGCTAGAGCTTTTCAGGTTCAGAACCGGTTCTTCGGTTTAGCTCCGGCTCTTTTCACACTGCCCAGAGTCCGACTGGTGCTGCGTCATCGTTTGCGTCATGACGTAACCGTTTGCGTGCCTGCTTCATAAAGCCAAAGCGTGCGGAAACCCCTCCCAGCTGACACCGACAACAACAACAATGGCCGATTGTGCTCCAGCTTCCTCTGTACCTCTTCGGAAGACCAGATTCCCAGTAGGTAGCTGGTCTCTTCAGTGGACCACTGCTGCTTGTTAAGTTTCTCCATCGCCCCCGCCTCGACGTAAGCGTGACGTATGCGGTGCTTTTGCTCTAGCCGGACAATTTTTTGTTGCTTGAAACGAACCGGATTCCGGAGCTAAGAGGCTGCTCCGCTGCGGTGTGAACAGGAAAACCTGGTGCTTTTCAAGCTCCAGCTCCGAACCGGCCCTGAAACACCGTGTGAATGAGGTATCAGGAATCTCTGAAGCTTTTATGTGTCATAGAAAAGGTGGTCGCTTTAAGTGACTATATGAGACCTTAACATCATCACGCTGAACATGAGTCCGCCTTTGAAACCGTGGTGTAGCTTGTTTATAGCCCATAGGTTCTCTTTTTAGTTCTGGCGATAGGCATTTACACAAAACTGGTGTTATTATGTGGAGATTATCCTGGATTAAACAAAACGGCAATTGTCATAAACGTGTGTTGGCCACGGAGCTTTTTTGTGCAATATTCCGAAATCCCATGAAAAATCGAAAAGGCTTTTTGTCGAGGGTATCCTTGGGATGCTAACTTCCGGGTCAGCCCACATAAATCATCCCTGCACCGTTTTATACACCTGCACAAATACTGATATCCAGGTGCAGCTTTCAACCAAAACAGCAGTCTAGACTTTTGGTTAACCTGCAAAATGTTACTGAAAAGAACCGGGAACCTAGTTTTGTGTGTGTGTATGTGTGGGTGGAAAAAGGTGGAGGGTGGGGGCAGTTCAGTAAGAGCCAACAGAAATGTTCTCCACATCTGTGAGTGCAGCCCGGCTCGAGATGAGACAGAATATGGAAGTGGAGTGACAGCTGGGAGAAGGAGAAAGAGCCGTGCCTCATGTGAAGCCCTGCTTCCTGACACATGTACTTACAGCAAAAGGTGTTTTGAAGCAGCACTTGTAGCTCCCCTCTTCTTTTTGCAACCAGAACAGAGCTTGACTCGGAGCATCAAGAAACGGCTGAAAGAGGATTGAACATGAAAGAGAAGAGCTAGTGTCAAGGCATGGCTGAGGCAGGGCGCTGCTAGGAGCTGCAACATAGCAGGAAGACAGAGAACTGTTTCTGCACTTCATAGTCATAGGCTGACATTTTAAGCGTTTTTAGACAAGGCAGAACTTATCTAACTTATTCAGACTCAGGGATTTAGTTGATAATGTAACAGGCCAGATGCCTCGTGTTGTTTATACCTCCATTGTGATAGAAGCCAAGGACTAGACATGTGTCCCTTGGCCTTTTCTCATGCCTGACCTCCCTTCCTCTATCTGCAGATGATTCTGGTAATGAAAGCCTCCTACACAGTGGCCTTCTGCACATAAGCAAACATGCCTCCTCTCTGTCCGTGGCCTGTGGTGAACGCGGGCCAGCAAAGTTTGATAAGAGAAGCAGGATGAAAGCGGGTATCGATGAGAGCTCATTGATTAGCCCACCAATGGTCCTGCATTTCCCTGAAACCGCAGGATAGATAAAGGGGCAAGCTAAATATGGAGATGTTAGCTGCCTGCTTTTATCAGCTTCCAACCGAGTAAGGTCAACCCAAACAGTTTCAGGTTAACGCCTGTCACTTTGTTATTCAGCCTGGTGTAATGTTTGGTAAAGGCTTCAGCCCACAGTCCCCGCTGTTAATTATCACATTGAAAGCTTTTCTGGCATTGAGCTACACCCAAGCATATCTCCATTGGATGAAATGCAAAGCTTTAATTTAAATATTCTAAGAAGACAAACAGATCGGGATTTAAAATGCATTTTATCAGTCAAAAACAACAAATTTGTTTTTTTTTTATTCTGATGCAGAATAGTGTTTTGGTCGTTATTGAGCCCTTTTGTTTGTGTGTGGATGTTTTTTTCTTTTTTCTCTTCAAGAATAAAACGGTAAACTGAAAAGAGAATATTGGAAAAGGGATAAAGAAACTAACTTTTTATACGGGTTTCTCCTTCACTTGTCAGTTAGGTGAGACTCAAGCACAACAAACCACAAGTGAGACTGAGCCCGCATGTTTACAATGCATACAGCAGGTGTTTCTAACCTACAGTAGGCCTACTGCTCTTACACTGATTAGGCTATGTATTTTTGACGGTTTGCTGTTCACAGCTTTACATTTTACTGGATGTAACGTGAGCATGAAGTGCAGTTGATACATTCTCATGGCTTCTAGTCATACTGCAACTATCAGAAGCCTTTTTCTGAGAAGTCCCTGCCTATTTCTGACTTCAGTCTCAGCCTCCTCATTTATCTGCAGCATTCTGCAAGCTTGCCGTCTGTGGATGTAACTGCTTTGAGACAGAGGAGAACAGAGAGGGCTCAGCTGCCACCGCAAACTGAAACCCTGTGGCTCTGGGATTGAGAGGAGTTCCGCAGAGTTGGGGTTTCACACGTTGTTGTGTGATGTAAGATAAGACACACTCAGCTGTATCCTCCCTTCACTTAAAAATACACACATGCACACACGCAAGCATAACGGAAAATATTCCAGGATGTCAAACCGCATGAAGGGTCGAAGTATACCCTCTTGTAATAATGAAAGTTCATGGCATGTGTGTGTGTAGTTCGCTGTTTGAGTGTGAGGGCTGCATAAGCTATGTGCATTAGGCTACCTCTCATAAGTTAGTTCAAAACCACTGAAAGAAAAACAAGGCGCTTTTTTTCAAAGAATTAGAAAAATTGAAAAAAAATGGAAAGATGTTTTCGCTGTGAACATGCAAAACACAGATTGCAGGGACAGATTAGGCCTACTTTATGATAGGTACCCTTTGCTAAATCAATATAAAACACTTGAGGGTGTTAAAAAATACATTTTTAAAAAGCTTTTATAACCTTTTTAGATAAGAAGATGGAGACCACTCTCATCTAATGTGTGCTAAATATGAGGCTATAACCAGGAGTGGGTTAGCTTAGCTTAGCACAAAGAATCACAAAATATGAAAACAGCTAGTCTGGGTGTGTCTAAAAGTTACAAAACCAACCCTACAGTTTCTTTAAAGGTCATAATTGATGGTAATAGTTATCAAATAATATTAGTAATATCTCATTTGAATTGTTATAGTATAAATATATATATATATATATATATATAAAGTATGTTTGAATAGTATAAAAAACATGCTAACATGGTATGCTAGCTTCATTTAAACCAAGTGTCAATCTTACTAAATGTACTTAATAACCCCAAAAGTCTAGGCTATTATTTTCAGATATGTATTCTATATATCATACATTTTCGCATTATGAAACGGTCTTAGTTTATTTGCTGTTTAAGACAGATTTAGGCTCACTAAGCTATTATAGGGATACATTTTTAGGCAAAACATTTTCCCTACTTTGTGGATGTTGTTTTCTTCAAAACCTTCCCTTTCCATATTTTGCTTTCATGCATGCTTGTCTCTTCTTTGAATATAAGCTTTTAGCATTTTAAATAAGGACAACAGACAAGCTCTTTGCTCTGATAAAAGCCCCATCTGCACAAGAGAGTAATGAAGCGAACACACTGATGATGCCTTTTCTTCAGGTCAGGGCATAAACATCAGAGCTCTGCTTCCCAGTCTCCTCCGCTGTTTGCATGGTCAACAGGGAACTTGTTGTCTTTTGTCTATTTTGTTTATTCCCTGCACAGTTTAAAGAGAAGAATGGCTTTCTGTTTGAAACATTACCTGATGGATATTTATGCAGCTGTGAGGCTGTGAAGAGAACCTTTGATATATTTCTCAGGCTCTACACACACACACTCGGCAGGAACACACACATGCACTCTAAGGTGCTCAGCTGTCCATCCCCATCCATGTGGAGCCGACCTCCGAGGTTGACCCTCTGACCCCGGGGAAAATCACACAGAGGTCATGGTTAAAATAAACCCTAGAAACTGGGTAAATAGGATGTGTACACCCACCCAGACATATGGAACTCACTAATCAAACACCACTGAGCTGGGAGAAAAAGAGGAAGAAATCATCTCTGAGGAAGCTACAAGCCCACAGTATTAGTAAAAAAAACCTTCTGTACTGTAATATAAATGGATCAAGCT